TCGCCCATTCCACGACGCACCAACCACTGGCGAAGTCCCTGATATCAAGAACCTATGATCCTCAGATCGCCCATTCCACGACGCACCAACCACTGACGCTGCTTCTCGACTTCCTTCTAACGTGCTCACTCCTTCTAGTGACCTCCTGTGCGCAGTGTCGCCTTCTAAAGTGCTCATTGCTAAGCCCAGACTGGTAGTGAACCCACTAATCGCCACTACATCGTCCAAGCTTGCTGCACAAACAACTAGCGAGGGAATGCCTTTGGCGACGCCGTAGTTCTGTTTTTGCAACGCAAACATTCCACCGCAGACAACTGCAGGGGAGACTGCTCCGAGAAGGATTAAAGTATGATCCTGAAGAGAGGTTAGGTTAGGTTAGGTTGTGGATCCTTCTCAACGAGCCCCACAGGCACATGCTCGCCTCCGTCCGAGGATGATGGGGGACCTAGGTAAAATAAGGAACGGAAGATTATTAGGAATGATCTTTTTCGGTCATAAAATAAAACCCAACGTGAGCCCCCACGGCAACGGAAAATCGAAAAGAATACGGGAAAGCAAGGCCACTGCGAAAGCCTCCGACACGCCAGGCAAAACCGTCAGTCGAAGACACAGACCACCCATCTTCCGGATTCGCGGGAAGTCTATCTCGCAGCCTGCTATCATGAGAATCGTGGCTAGACCAATGGTACGAACCAAAGACGACAACGCTGAAGGAATCAGCAAGTCCACGTGTCTTTTCCTCGCATCTTCAGTGTGCTCTTGAAGACCGCCTGCTCCATGATGCTGTCCTCCAGTGGTACTCCTAACTGCAAAGGTTGCGACCGCACTACCCACGTTGCGGAAACAGATTCCTGCAAGGAGATACCCCAATAGCGGCGGTGTGGAGAGTAAGTGCTTGAAAAAGCATCCCCAAAGGTGTGCCACGGCCCACAAGCCACAGAGAACGAGCAATGAGGTCAGACTGATGTCCTCCGATGATACATTGTGAAGAAGGGTCATGTTGTTTTCTGACAGTGGATGTGAGGATGATGTGGGGATGTGAGGATAAATTTATTCTGTGACAATGATCACCTAATAGCTGGTAACTATTCATTAGATGTAAGTACTCATGAAAAATCAACAGGTCATTTTCTCAGTGCAGGTCCACTGGAAGAGCGAGGCTCCTTCAGGTTAGTTAGTTAGTTAGTTAGTTAGTTAGTACATTTTCGAGTAGCAAAAAAATTTGAATTGGGAAGGACAAAGCGGGTGCATATAATTGTGCATGGCTCATCAACACTCTCATCTTTCTGTGTGGGTGAGTGACTTTCCTAGTCTGATCTCTCGAACCGACATCACTTGATTCTGATACAATATACAAATAGTGCATCTCGCCGTTTTCAGATGAACAGTATCATGATGACGCCAAAATGCATTTGCAAGTTGCGGACGCGCGTGGTAGGATCATTGCGGATTTGCGTGTAAAAGTTGAGGGAATTGGATAAACGGGGAGATAAATATCTTGTTACGAGACAACATGATGGAAAATCCTTATGCGTCTTTTTGTTCACACACTAATGCTTCTCTTCTTGCTGCGCGTTGTATGTGAATGTATGTAGAAGTTGTGTGAGGAGTTCACTTCAAGATCTTTTGTTCGAGAGGAAGATCTTTTCTCATACCCGACAGAAGCGAGGAAGGAGTGTGTCGTCTCTATCGTTTCTGCATTTTTGCAGGTCTAGCTGCACCGGTATCATTCGCTCTTGCTGGCCCTCTTGCTTTTTCGCCACGACCCTGCGGTCCAGCTGCTTCGCCCTTTCCCTTGCCCTTGCCTTTGCCTTTTGCGCGGTTTGGACCGGGGTTTAGAGACGGAAGTAGTAGTAAGAAAGTTTACGCTAGTCTAACACAAATAAGAAGATTAAGATTGAGATTTTCCAAACGCCTTGAGAAAATCAGCACCAAGGAGCTCTCTACGAAAAAATCCATCACAAGTAGGCAAACTAGAAGTACATGCATTTATCGGATGAAGTAAAAAAAACTAATCTATCACAAGCGGAAGTAGGTACAGCCACAACTAAAAATATATTCATTGGGCTGGTGTATTAACGACATAACTTGACCATCGCTGTTTTGTTCGCTGCTTCGGAGCTCTTCAGCATATCGCTTACTTCTGGCGGTATCTGGAGGTATTTGATGCTATTCCCCCTTATATAAACGTCCGCCACTCGTGTCCATTTATCTCCATGTGCATCGACACATATGGCGTCGCGGACCTGGATAGAGGGTGTCAGGAAGACGTCGACGAGATGAAGATTTCTTTGATGTTCAAAAAAGAAGAGTTCTTTGTGTACTTTCAACAGCATAGTCACACACACGGTGGTATAGCATATCTTCATGATCACATGCTGAAACGCAGAGTCAGTTCAGCACTTCCTAAAAACGTCACGGTCCAACAAAATTTCTTGTTTAACAAGAAATACCTGAGCATTCATAAAATTGTCGATTTTGAGCAAAAGTCCGGAATAAGTTTCGCCGCTCTTCAACTCAACCATCACTTGATGGTTGAGAGCCGTGTGAAGCAAATTTGACGGCAACATTGTTCTTTTTTTGGTGCTGTTTACCGCAGCTATAGAAGAAAATATTAGAATCAGAGTTTTTATTGAATCATTCAGAAGGATTCATGATTCGCTTGTGATGTACAACTACTGCTTCACGGTACGAGCAATCGAGATACTTAAGAAATCACAACATCAATGACAGGTCGAAATTATTGGAAAGGTATTGAACAAACACGCCAGATTCCGAAAACGCTACTGAGTCCTGATAACGTAGCTGAGATGGGCTTGAGCCTTCGTCGCATTGAATCATAATGCGGTTGTAATCCCGTAGAAGATCGCTTTTAGACTACTATTTCACAGGGAGAAGATGGGAATTCAGTGTCTGATAGATCCCGCAACGCCGAGGCGCGACGTCGCAATAAGGACAACCATCATGATCCTGGTCACTTTGAAACTACTTCTGAGATAGTTGAGCCCGATTTTTACGAGTGAAGTGTATTCTCTTGATGTCCCACCAGTTGATCGTTATCGACGATGATGATGTGCCTTCATTCTTCAGATTCTTTAGGTTAGGTTAGGTGTGGGTCCACTAGATAGACCAGCAGACTTTCGTGGCTACTGAAGAGCCAAAAACACGACTTCTTTACATTTACAGCGCACAGTCAGACAGGAGAATTGTTCACATTTTTTTGACTCCATGATCAATCAAGATCTTCATCTCTATCATGGACAATTTTACACGCGTCCAACAGCACACTCGGACAAGGACCGGCGACGAGGTGACTTCCATCACGACCACTGTGGATTCACATCAATGTTTTACTTAGGAAAAAGAGAGAATCGGCGATATCTACTACTGAGACAGAGAGTCGGCCTATCACGACTGTTATTTTGTTGCATTGAATATTTGGTGAATGGTGATATTGATGCGAAATCACTAAGGAGAAAACAAAAATACATAGCGAAAAAATGTTACATGAGCCCTTTAACAATACGACGCAGCGCGTACACTAATTACACAGAGATGAACCCAAGTTTATGGTAATAGACATTTTTAACAAAAAATTTTATACATTGTCGGACAACCTATCAAAGACGAAGATAAGTAGAACTTCGGTGTGTGAGAAATACTGCTTACGTCCACCTCCAGAGAGCAGTATTCTTTTTCTACATGTACATTGACGTTAATTCTACTCCAACTACCACATCTTTCCCGTATGAGTCGAGCTCCTACACAGCTAGGTGACGCACAGCTCACGCCTAACAAATCTCCTTTTGAGTATGCGTGACATGAGTTGTGAAAAAGTATGAAGATTTGAGATCGCAAAATGAAAACGAAATTCTTGACTTTTACTTTTATGTAGGCATTCTTAGCGCACGACTTCATCAAAAACATGTACCTTCGTAGATACATATGGACTACACATGGACATTCATTTCATGTTGAGGAAAAAAGGGCAAAACAAAAGTTATCATTACATACAGGTCTCACCGACGGCCGGTTTATTTCATCATATCCTCCTCTTGCTTACATGTCTTTTAAAGCTCCGCTCCCTGCTCGTTTCCCGTCTGCATAACTCAAACTTCGCAAAGGCTAAGCGCAGATGCCCTCATAGATTAGACGGTGGATGCCATTTTTGTGTCCCTGTCATGGTTCAACGTAACGGTCTTCTAGGTAACATTATTCTAGACAGAACAACGGTCGAGACCGACGAGGAAAACTACTTTCAAGAAGCCTTCTGATGAAATCTCTTCATCCATAAGAGATGTAGGATTGCCGCGATGCCGCAGTCGATGCTGTGGTCGAGCGTGGTTCCGTTGAAAAGTGTTGTGAACAACAGTCCATGGCTGCTTCAAACGACTGCTCTCCACACTCGCAACTAGTCGTCATATATATTTCGGCACGGCAAATGCGCTTAGAGTAGATGTATCTGCAAGTAGGCATCCTATGTTGATGTGGTTGCTCATTTCTACGTGGAGGCATAAGCGATGCGCGAGGCACGTAAGGGAAGCATCGCGTGCCTCGTAAGCGCCTCGCGAGGCACTTGAGGGACCCTGATGTTAAGTGCCTCGTAAGCGCCTCGCGAGGCACTTAAGGGAGCCTGCTGTTAAGTGCCTCGAAGTCGGAAGTGCCTCGCGAGGCACTTAAAGGACACTGATGTTAAGTGTCTCGT